ATATATATAGGGTTGAGTTCATGTGAGACCAAGAGTTTTTCGTGAGACCCGTAAGACCAATTTATGTTCATTGATCAACTTTATAAGTTAAAGATCTAATGGTCTAAATTGCAAGATGACAATTTTGTAATTATTGAGAAATCTCATGGCGTTTGTGAATGTTCAAATCTGACGATTGTAGATCTAATCCAAGGATTGAGAATTGGTCTTACGGGTCTCATGAAAAAGGTTTGGTCTCATATGATCACAAGTCTATATATATATATATATATATATATATATATATATATCTATATATATATATATATATATATACACACACACACATATTAGGGTTGGGTTCACGTGAGACCAAGGGTTTTTCGTAAGACCCGTAAGACCAATTTATGTTCATTGATCAACTTTATAAGCTAATAATCTAATGGTCTAAAGTTGCACGGTGTCGATTTTGTGATTATTGAGAAGTCTCGTGGCATTTATGAATGTTTAGATTGTCAGATTGTATATCTAATCTAAGGGTTGAGAATTGGTTTTACGGGTCTCATGAAAAACCCTTGGTCTCACTTGATCCCAAGTCATACATATTATACATATATATATATATACATGTATTATATGTATACATACATAGGGTTGGGTTCACGTGAGACCAAGTGTTTTTTGTGAGACCCGTAAGACTAATTTATGTTCATTGATTAACTTTTTAAGCTAATGATTTAGTGGTCTCAAGTTGTACGGTGACAATTTTATGATTATTGAGAAGTCTCGTGGTAATTTTGTGATTATGAATGTTCAGATTGTAGATCTAATCCAAAAACCCTTGGTCTCATATGATCCCAAATCTATATGTATATATATATATATATATAGAGAGAGAGAGAGAGAGAGAGAGGGGAGATATATGCCTGTATCTCAATGAGAATTGCACAGAAAGAGTAGGCAAAAGCAATGTCTCCAATGGCACAAAAGATGTTCCACAATTTGTCCGTACTTGATAAATCTTCCTTAGCAGGTATTCCAAGGCTTGTTTTTGGATGTCCACCTCCTTCATCATCCACACATTTTAATCACACATTTCACAATCTACCATGAATTATATACCTCCAATTTCGGAATCATCGTGACCTTTGAATTACATACCTGCAATTTTGGCGATGGAGAGACCGACTCCAATGGTAGAATAAGCAAAAGACATGACGGTCGCGACAATGGAAAGGAACGAGAGCTTGTGGAAGTTCGGGATTTGGCTCAAAATGATCTCTATAGCTGCAAACGTTAATAGATAAGAGTTGTTTGATGTGTGACACCCCATGTCGTGGCCGTATCTATGGAAGCAGCTCGATCTTTTAATTGCCCTTTTCAATCAAATTAAACAAGATCATATACATATGTTATAACGTGCCATAACAAAGCCATAAATACGTATGTAGGTGTGTGAGTACAAGTAACGGAGTTTGTAATGCTTACGCCATGCTAATCGATGAAGTGATGGTGTACCCGATGCTCACTCCGACGAGAGTTTCATATTGAGCTATCCCACAGAATTTGTATTTAAGCCCTCCTAACGACCACAACACAAGTAAAGAGCATTTGTCAAACAATATATATATTAAATGAAGTTTACCCAAATGCTTACCCGGTAAGCGCTTATCAATTAATAGGAGTCAACACTGTAATTTATTTTGATGCGTAAGATTTTAATACATCAAAACATATCGAATGCAACAATTTACTGGGTAAGAGTGAACCTTCATGGCCACAATATGATTCTTATTCTTCATTAGATTTGAACATGAGACCTCCATGACTTTTGATATTTGAAACGCAAGCCCAAACCACTCAGGCACCATCCTTTTTTGAAGTATATTATATTTATATGCGATAAATGCAACAAATAAATTCACACCATCTTCACCTTTGGTGAGGTTTGAAGCCTTGACCTGTTAGGAGGCCAAAGACCACCGCTAAATCAAAGACCCTTTGGTCAGGCACCACCCTTGTGGTTAACTTTTTTTTAATTGTGGGTATCCAGGTAACCTGCATATACTGACTAATCCCTTGACGATCATTAATGATTTAGAGTCTCGCAGGTGAACCTACATGGCTACAAAGGCTTTGATAACACTTCAATTCAAATCCAAAGAATATGAGATTTCCACTGTATCGCTAAATCTTTAAGTGGTTAAAATGAGTAATCTTATGCTTTGTAAGACAACTTTCCCACATTGAAGGCTACTTTCAACATGTCCCATAACATTCTGTTTTTGTTTTCCAATTCAAAAAATCGTTCAAAACCTTTTTAATGATTAATATTTTTTGCATTTGAATTGCTTTAAAAAACTTAATTTTCTACGACGTATTTTGTTGTAAAAAATATTTATTTTTATTTCGAATATTTAATAAATTAAATAAAATTTCATAAGATTTAAAAGGAAAATATGATTAAAAAATCTGAACCGTAAAAAACTTTAACCCCCAACGGATGAGTTTTAAGTGGTGAGACATAAATGGAACGTTTTGAGACACGTGGTTTTTATCGTTTTGGAATCTCTATCGACAAACTTTTGAAAAAAGTTTCTAAAATAGTAGTAACCGATGAAGGATCATGAATTTTTTTATGTTTTAAAAAACGTATAGAACATTTGAGATTCCTCATTTGTCATTTTTTTCCCTGTCACATCATTGCTATCTCAATAAAATAAGAATCTCAATACAACTCCACAATGGAATTTATTATAAAAATCCCGCTTTACATTTTTTTAATAAATAAAATACAATTCTGTTTAATATATATATATATATATATATATATATATNCTATAGTGGTAGTAGGACCAGTGTTACCAGAATGCATTTCGTAGTGAAAAAACACTAAACAGCTCACTGGGGGTAAATTGGTCATTTTAACCAGTTCTATCCTGTCCTGTCMTGTCTTACCAAACGTTGAACAGCTGTCCTGTCCTGTCCTGTCCCGTCCTGTCCTGTCCTGTCCTGTCCAGTCCTGTCTGCGCACCAAACGCACCCTAATGGTCATCCACATTCCACAGTACCATAATTGGAGCTAAATTTTAAAAAGAAATTACTTTTTAAAAAAAAACATTTTTTAAAAGTGAAATATCTCAAAAGAAAAAGTGAAATAAAGTTACTTCTTGTAAAAATTGTTTTAAGTTTTTATCATTAATTTATAGGTTATTTTATCATGAATTTATAGATCAATTTAAACTTGATGTTGAAAAATAAATCTAAAACCTTAAAAAATAAACTCCAAATAAAAAAATATTAGTTAAGAACATTTAGGGGTCGTTTACCAAAAGCTTACCCGGGTAAGTACTTATCAAGTAACATTACCTCACATGATGAATATAATAAGGATCAAGAATCTTACCCGGTAAAAGCGAGACAAAGACCAAGAGTCTTACCCGGTAAGTGAGGGCGACGACTCTTACCACGGTAAGCGCTTACCGAGTAAATTGTTGCATATGATGTTTTGGTGGACTAAAATCTTACCCGATAAGTAAATAATAATGTTAAATTTTATCGGTAAACATTTACCGGGTAAGTGTTTGGTAAACGGCCCTTACTTGGTGGAACCTTCAAGAACTTTACTTGTCATATTTTTGTCACATCAATAGAATAAAAACCTCAATAGAACTTCACAACGAAAATTCTTACAAAAATCAAATATAGTTTTTTTAATTCTTACTGTTCTATATTAATTTTATTTGTTAACTTATAATATTATTAGTTTTATATTACAATTAAAAAAAAGGCAACATTACATATGGAAAAGTCATTTTATAATTATTAGTTATTAATTTATAAATAAAACAATTAAAATATAAACATAATCTTATACTATAATTAAAAAAGTGTAAAATTACGCAATTATTAATCTTTATAAAAAGTAATACTAAATAATACATAGTAATATAAATTACTTCTAATCTCGATTCGACCAAATATGTTCAAGCAAGTCGGATCGAAGTTCACGATGAACATCATTTGAATGCATCTTAGAATTTCAGTAAAAATATTTATGGAATTCATAGTAGAAGTTTGAAATATGTGCGTCGAATTTTTACCTTTTCAACAAAATAATAAAATAATGTAAGGAGATAATTAAAAATTAAACTTATTAATATAAAAACTTGTATAAAAATTTATAAGAAAAAATATTTTATAATAGTTAATTAATTAATTTCTTTTATCAATTTTAACATATATTTTTTATAGATTTATTAAAAAAAAAACAAACAGTTAAGGAAATAATAAATAGAATCATAAACAAAAAGGAATGCATACAAGAATCCGGATTCTTGTTCGAACACCCAGGTTCTTTTAAGAACTTATGATTGAATAAGAACCTCTATCCCATAGTGAAGGTTTTATAAGAACCTCAACATACAGCTCCATTATGGATGCTCTAACCAGCCTTATTTTTAAAATTATTCTTATAAATTTATATTTTTACCTGCCTCTCTTTATTTATTTTTATTTTAACATGCATTTGATGGAGCAAATTAAATAAAAAAAAACCTACAATCTTTAAAATATGTGTTTTAGTATAAATATTGTTGAAAATATGTTAATCATAATAAATAAAAATTAATTGTGAAAAAAATAAAAAAGGGAATTACCAAGATTAGCTTTGACAGCTTGCATGTAGTTGTAGTTTCGAGTGGCATCAGGAGATCGATAGCAGTTTGTGAGCAAAATGCACGTGAACCAAGAAATAACTGCAAATACCAGCAGAAGAAGCGTTCCAAGGATCCAACCCAACTGACCCAAACACCAAGTCAACGACAACACTCCCGATCCCACAACTGCCGTTATTATATGCGCACTTGCACTCATCCATGTCCCTATTTCATCATTCAAAACCATATTTACTTTCATTTCTCACTAAATCCAACAAATTCGATCAGGGACCATATATATACCAACGCTAATCACATAAGCCTTTTTCCAGTAAGATTCTTGTTGGTAAGCGCAAATTATCTTACAGATGACGAGATACGTACGTACCTGTTCTTCTTGGTCGTCCATCGTCATCGAACTCTTGATTGGCTTCTGAACCCTTTTCCAAGAAAAATGGTTCTTGTTTGTGCATGCTTTGAGGGGAAATTGAAGGCTTGGTGTTGAAGATATTAGGAGGTGGTAGGAGGGTGGTTGATGAAGAAGACACAACAATTGTTGATGAAATATATACAAAGTGATTTTTATTCTACATTTGTTTTTTGTGAGTTAATTTATATTGCTTTTTTCCCACAACATTTATAGATTCTTTTAAAAGGGTGGCCCAAAATGGGCCTTTTCTATATATTAAATTAATTTTCTTTTTTTTTTATCTGAAAAAATGTAAAATCACACCTGTTTAAGTATTCATTTAACTGACATGAAAGTTTGTTTAATGTTAAAAAATTTGGTCTGGGGTTTTCCTTTTATACTCTTATATTTACTTAATTTCATTCCATCCCATAATGATGAATGCACCATCGTTGTCGTCACCCTCAGCGCCTTCAACATCACCATCATGGTTGTTACTGTTGTCGCCTTCACCCCACGACCACAAGAATCATCACCACCCCATCCACCATCACTACGGCCACTGCCACCGCTAATGTCCTCGCCGCTACCTCAAATACCACCATCACTGCGTTACCACTGTCGCCTTCACCCCCACCCCCACCCCATCGTCCTCACCACCACAACTATTACTACCACCACCACCACCACTACTACTATTTACGCCATTATCGCCTCACCACCATCATTCTATTCAATGAACCAAACAAACATATTCCATTCTAATTCCTGCCAACCAAATATGTATGGTCAAACATGATCAAATTCCATTCCAATTCCTTCAGATTCCAATTCTTTTGACGGATTAACAATTCCTACAGGTGCGAATATGATCTAAGTAATAAAAACTATTTCTTAGTTCAAGATCCCTCTTATTAACTGGAATTTCCAAAATCTCACTCAAAAGGTGCTGAGTTGGAATCCCGAATCCGCTTTGACTACGAACAAGGAAGCTATAAGTAATGCAACGGCGCGTTCCGAGGTATGAAGTGGGAGAGAAGGGATGTCATAATTGGGGATAAATGTATATGATCCAGCATGCCCATTTGTAAAATAAAAAAAACCAAATTCCATTCTCCCTCGACTCCATGTATGAATAAGTCCGGGATAACCTCTGAAATTTTTTCCGGGGCCTTGTACATACCGCCCATCACACTATGGGTAGTTAGCTCAACACCAATCAAGAATGCCCAAAAAATTTGCATTTTGTGTACCAAACACCACCTTAGTATCAGAACTCTTAAAAAACCCGGAAAAACTTCAAAGAAAATAGAAGTTTTTAGTAAGAATAAAAGAACTTAAAAACTCTGTGAAAATTTTGAAAAACTTGATATATAATTTATAAAAATTAATTTATTTTGAAAAATGGACATAGTATAACCAGTCGCGGTCCTGGAACCAGTCTCGGGGCAGACTGGACCTTGAATTTTCATAAAAATCGTAACCAGTCCAAGTCCTTATCGGTCCCAAGCGTTACATATATCAACGAACTATCTCATTTTAAATAATTAAGTTTTTGAATTATTATTTTTGATTGAAAAAACAATTAAACTTTCTCATTTTGAATGATCAAGTTCAATGATTTCTTATTTATCACAAAAAATGTTCAAGATTTTTCAAAATGAGAAAGTTTAATATTTTTTTATTAAAAAAAAAGTTTAAGGACTTAATCATTTAAAATGAGATAATTGTTAACGTTTTTCAGAAATTTTCTCCTAAATTATTATACTGTATTAATTGTGAAGTAGTTAAAATAGGTAAATCACAAAAAATAGTTCTTGAAATATTACTTAAATAGCACAAAACAATCACCATTTTTCAAGATCAACATTCAGATACCAAAATAAGGTACATTACAAAAGTTGTTCGAAAACGATTACGTAACTTGCACGAAGAAACCATTTTTTTTTTCAACAATCGACATTCAAACACTAAAACCGTAAATTATGAAAAGTATTCATCTGTAATTATTTAAAGGAATGGATGGTTATGTTGACGGTAAGTAAAAATAGATAACCACAAGGGTGGTGCCTGATTGGATTGAGATTGGCTCTAAAGGTCAAAGGTACCAGGAGGTCTCAGGTTCAAATCCAAGGAGGAATAAAAATCTCCTTGTGGCCATGGAGGTTCAAATGCGGTGACTCCGAGCTATCTACAAAGCAGATGGTCAACCTGAGATTAGTCGGCTCGCATAGTGGGTTGGATATCCAGGTTAATTAAAAAAAAGATTCATCCTCAATATTATAAAAGGAATCTTTTGTGTTAAGATTGTTAAAGTGAATTAATTTTAGGGATAAGCTAAATGCAATACTCATAAGTAGTGATATATAAATTTCACATAATGGATCATATGTTAAACGAAATTTATCACATGTGATTCAAAACGTGAATAAAAAATTAGAGAAAAAATGGTTGAAAAAGATTATGTATTAATTGTAGATATCACATGTGATATTTGATGAAAATTTTGAATTTTTTTCATCAAAGTATATCTAGAAAAAAAGTTATATAAAATGATTATGAATTTATTAAATTAATAAATAAATAAATATCAAATATATAATTAAATTTGTAAAGATTTATCCAATTCAAAATGATAATTATCCTAAATTTCAATTTTTTATGTTATATTTTAATTAATGTATCATGTGACTCCTATTACTCACGTCTTCTCTCTCTCTCTCTCTCTCTCTCTCTCTCTCTCTTTATATATATATATATATATATATATATATATATATATATATATAGGGGAACGATAAAATGCAAACCACTTAATTTGTACAAACCGTGCAAACCGCATTCAACCAATCATAATTTTTCATTTTGTTCATTTTTTTTGTAATTATGAGAGGTTGATTAATCATTTTTATTGTGGAGAGTGTTAATCATAGATATTATCATCTTCATTATTTTAATTTTAGAGAAATACATGAAACAGTTTCATTAAT